AAATTTAATATAATTTTTAAATATTAAAAGATTAATAAAAAAGACTTATGTTAGGTGTTAGGTGATAGTTGTCTCAAATAATTGTTGAGGTGTTTTACATCTGATCTAGAGACAATTATGTAACTAAAATTGAATTAAAGGTGGCTTTTTTTAATTTCATCCACAGAAGATTGTACTAAGGACTACCCATTATTTTGCATTTGCACTCTTCTCTTACTCCTTTCTTTCCTTGGAAGCTATGACTCTAAATTCTTTATCTCCATTAACATTCAAATCCTCATCAATATTATCACTCCTTATATGATAGAAATTGAAATTTTCATTAGCCTGTTATTCCAAGGCAGCTATACCACATTGTAATAAAATTTTTCATCAAGAAACAAACTGAAAGTGCGTCAGATTAGTTACATTGTGGTTGGTGATAAACATGATTGAAATCAAATTGGTAACGGACAGGAGTAATCGTATTATATATATATGTCTGTTAAGGTATTGATAATCGGAGATTTTGTCAGTTTTTTTTTTTTTTTTTTTTGTTTCGCGACTTAATTCAATTCTTAGTCTATTAATTATTAGTTTCATTTCATTTTAGTCCAGAACATTTATTTTTTTTAATAGTGATCTATAAATTTTGGAGAATATTTCAAAATAGTAACTATATAAAATTTGGTTAGATTTAACTGAAAGAGTAATCCTTTAAATTTAAAAGAAAAAGGCACCATGATCCCAATAAAATATGATAACTCAAGAAATATTTTATAAAAAAATATTTTATAGTAATAGATTAATTAAAATTTATAATAAACTTGAACAATTAGCTTAATTCAAATAGAGAAACTTACTAAATTTAGAATAAAAAATTTAAAAGTAAGTCTATTTTATAAGACAAATTGTATGTAATTTGTCTTATAAAATTATTCAAATGTTTCAAAAAAATAATATAAAAATAAAATTAAGGGCATTTAAATAATTTTATAAGATAGACTGCATATAATCTGCTCTGTAAATCAATTTTTTGAAAAACACATTTAGCAAGATAAAAATAAAAATTATTTTTATGATGAAATATAAATTTAAGGATTAAAAAATAAAAAAA